CTACGGAAACAGCCTCCTTGTATAATTACAAGGGTAAGGTCTGCGTACAACTGACCCCCCAGACCTCAACCTGCTGGGAATATACTGAGTATGTTGTTGTTGTTGTATTAGGGTCTACTTGAATGGTATTTTCAGTATATCCAACAAAAGGTTAAGTATTCACCCCTCTAAGAATCCAGTATTTGTATGTCAAAGCTCATAGTACGTACAACTTTCACTCTTCATCAAGGTTGGTTTTATATATGTTCAGAATGTATGGATCCATACAGATACTATTAAAAGAATAATACTATTAATGGCGAATGGCGAATGGCGAATGGCGAACGGCGGTAAATGGCGGTTTGCCGGAGTTTCGCCGTGGCGGCCTATGGCGCCATGACCGCCATCCCTACTAATTTTGCATGGCGGATTGTCAAAAATCCACCACGCCATGGCGCCACCATGACCGCCATCTTTCACTAATTCTGCATGACAGTATGTCAAAAATTCGCCACGCCATACTGCCATGGCACCACCATGACTGTCATTTGATAACACTGTAAAATAATGATATATATAGAAACTTTTTGTAAGCAAAATACTATCTAAAGGAATAAATTGAATTAAATAATTTAAAAAAAAAAAAAAGCTACATAATCTTTAAGCTCGGCATAACAACTATAAGCGTTGCATATCTATTCCTCTGACTATGTCAGCTTTTTGTTAAGACCCTGAAGCTTAACTTTCATCAAAGCTTGATTTGATCTTAAGATATGACTAATGAAACTTAATGCATCATGATTAAACTCATGATTAAGGGAACGTGCGCGCCTAGCTAAGTCATATTCTTTTATCTAAAGACGACAAAGAAATACAGACCACTCAGTGGTAGGGGTCTGTTATTGGTGCAATGATCTATAAATGGAGAGCATGACAAATATAACTATATGCACAGCAAAATATAACTATATTACTGGCAAAACAAAAGAAATTGAGAAAATAAGTCAATATAGAGAGAAATTTTTGTAACTATACAACAAAATAGTTATATTACATGCAAAACCATAGAAATTAGTCAAGACTTATTTCAATATTATATGACATGCAAAACCATAGAAATTAATAAAGACTTATTGTACCATCTCATTTTTGTTTTACCTTCCCACTAAAATAATCTAAATATAAAATCAATTATTATTTTATATTTTCAAACAAAAAAAAACATATATTTACCCACTCAGATATTTATTACCAAACACTATTCACCTACATGACAATGCAATTCAAATTCCCAAAGAATCACATCATAACACAAAAAATTGGAGAATTATGGGTATAAAATTGTAATTTTATTTCTCCGAAAGAAGCACAATAGAAAATTGGAGCAAATATTATGGGAGCATTTTTCTTTAATTGCCTTGATTTTAAACTCATTTGCCTAGCAATTTACTCTTAAAAAAATTATATTATCCGCTGGGCAATTTTTATGTGATCTATTAGATAACTAATTGTTGCTAAAACGTAGGCTAGCAACTATTAGCAATTTGATTATTCATCAAATACAATATGTACGAAACTTTTGATTCCCCCAAACCCACACTGACAATTATACATTCGTAGAAACTACGTTTAGGAAAATAGCTTAGCTATTAAAATAAGTTATTCATTATTCAATACAATAATAAACCAGAAAAAAAAAAGCCATAAAAAATATTAAGTTCGTTGAAAAAAAAAAGTATATTATCAAAATGTTTGGTAGATGTCTTTTAAGTTCAACTATAAATGGACATGTGTGTTTGAGTAGCCAATTGTTGTGATCTATGAGATGAATATAAGTGTTCGAGATTTTCGTGTGATGATGCAAAATTGAACTTACACCTATTGAGGTCATCAACAAATTATATGGAATTCTTCACTTCACAACAATTTCGAACAAACATTCACCTTTTACAGGATTTGAAGTCAACTTAGATAGTCTGTAATTTACTAGCGAGACACATGAAGCACGAATCACGCAGAGAAAAAAATCAAGAATAATTTGTTATCTGCATGCATTTATTAGAATACGGGTAAGGATAAATACACTAAACAGAATAATGACATACAACTAGACAAGCAATAACTAGTTCCTTACAATCTATATCTCTTATCAAGAAATATGAAATTATGACTGGAGATATTTTTAGGAATATGCCTAGAGCATTAATAAATTTTTTGTTAGTGAAATCAAAAAGTTTTAAAATGTAAGATGAAGGCGAAAGATACTATAAGAAGTTGCTTTTGAATCATGCTACTCTTGAAGCTCACGATGATAGATAACTTTGCTTACCTTTCTTTCAAAAAAGTAGCACAAAAAAGGAAAGGGAGTACTTCAGATTAAAACATTTTTAATGTTCGAATGAAGCATTTGAATTATTTGCGATTCTATTGGTGCATTGTACTCCAAATATTTTTTTCACTTTCATTACATTACAGACTCATTTTGTTTTACGTTGGTTTTACGTTGGGAGAATAATATGTTATTTCACTCTCTTTATATCATGACCTCAATATTACTACTTTTAATGACATCAAAACCACGTTATAATAAACGTTTTCTTTTATTCCCACAATCTCACTTTCCTATGCTGAGATTTCAGAATTTAATCTTTTATTTTCAAAATGGGACAAATCATAAATACAAGTGGAATGTTGTACTAATAAGTTTAATTTATTTACAAAAAAATTGAAACTAAAAGAAAGCATGTGTCATGTAAGATACCTCAACTTACTAAAAGTTGACAGCAAATTACTAAAAGTTACCAGCACTAATCTTTCACAAGTTCAAACACCCCAATATTTTAAGCAATATCTTCTAGTTTGTGGAACTAATAACTATGTTTCCCATGTGGCTAGATATATGTAAGATATATATGCAATCAACCATAATCGTAACAAAAGCCTGGATAGTGAAGATTTTGAAA